TCACTGTTATCAGTAAATGTTCACTGACATTGAATCCGTCTGTCAGTCTCAGGCTCCAACAGCCGTGTCCATCCAGGAGCCAGTGACGTGTGCCGGATGTGGCGAGCAGGTGCTCGACCGCTTCTTCCTATTGGCTGCGGGGAGGGTGTGGCACAACCCCTGTCTGCGCTGCAGCCAGTGTCAGTGCGAGCTGCAGACGCACCCGTCGCTGTACTGGAGGGACGGAAACATCTACTGCCAGCAGGACTACTGCAGGTCTGCGACGTCTCACCTTCCTTTGCTTCCGGTTTTTCACGTTTCTGACTCTGGTGTGGTTTCTCCTCCCGCTCAGGATGTTTGGAGGCGGTCAGTGTGCTCGCTGCTTCCAGCCAATCCCAGCTTCTGATTTGGTCATGAGGTCCGGTGAGCTGACTTTCCATCCTCACTGCTTCTCCTGCCAGGTCAGCCTCGACGCTTCGTCTGATTTTCAGGTTGAAGAATTCTGAGTAGATGCAGACGGTCTGTCCGATGTGTTGCAGGAGTGTGACGTGAAATTAATGCCGGGGAACTTGTACTGCATGCAGGGCACCAACCTCTACTGTCAGTCTCATTATCAGAGTGACGGGGGCGTGCAGCCCCCCCCTGACCTGCAGCCCAAGCAGCATCTAGATGGTGAGTGTGAAGAACTTCTGGGGCCTTTATGTGCATCTTATTGTTTTATCTTGTCGAGCTTTCCCACGCTATTTGGATTTAAATGTCAAATACAGGAAGTTCAATCACTTTAAATCAGCTCCTAACAGCATTTGGAGATGTTACTCCCAGCTGGGAATTCCTCCGCTCACTTCACACATGATGATGAGCTCGTTCTCACTCGTGGAGCTTTAAGTATCGCAGTCAAAGCTGCTGCTGTGGTTCCACTGTGGGAGTGACGCTCCCGCTTTGATGAAACAATCCTGTCACTCATGGAGTCGTCACGTTTACTGACAAACAGTGAGAGAAGGAGTGAAAACCAAGAAAAACACATTGATGCAGTGTTTGTGTCACAGCCTGAGCACCAAACCACACTGTGTGCAGAGCAACACAACACTCACCTGCTCACACCAGCAGCTTTTCCTCATCTAAGTGTTTTCTAACCAGCCAGGGATCAAACTACCAACCTCCTGATAGATGACCTACTCGTGATGCCGAGTTAACTGGAGCAGAAATATCATGAAAACATGGCGACGGAAGTTTCACGTCCATGGAGGAAAATGTTGGTGTAGAGCAGGGGTGGGCAATCCCAGTCCACAAGGGCCGGTGTCCTGCAGGTTTTAGATCTCACCTTGGGTCATCACACCTGAATCACATGATTAGTTCGTTACCAGGCCTCTGGAGAACTGAAGACATGTTGAGGAGCTAATTTAGCCGTTTAAATCAGCTGTGTTGGTTCGAGGACACATCTAAAACCTGCAGGACACCGGCCCTCGTGGACTGAGATTGCCCACCCCTGCTCTAGATGCAAATCTGAGTCCTGCACACTTGAAGATTTGTGCTGTGTTTACTACTCTGTGTCCCTACTTCACCTCCACGCCCACTCTAACTTGGGGAATCATCCCAACTCGGTGATTACTGCTCTCTCCAGCTTTCAACAAGCTGTGGTGTGAATTCAAATATATTAAGACACATTTCCCTCCCAG